AAAAAAATTCTTAAATTAATGCACCTGATTAAATATTTAGATGAAAACCAAATGATCATTAGATAGCCCTGATATGATATTTTTTAACTGAACCCTATTGATAATACTAATGTACACTAGCTCATAGGTTTTTTTCTATATGCATTGCCTTTATGATCTTGGGCATTTACGGAACATGACTGCACGTTTAAAGTAATCAATGATCATTATCAACTGAAGCATAAGTACCTTTTCAGTATAGTTATTTCCTACTTAATCAGACCTGAACATGATTTACATTTGTGTGAGACATTTTAAGTATACTTGTACTCTACATCAACAACAAAGAAATTATTTAACTTGAGCAGTATACTTTAAGTGTACTTCAAAAATGGTACTGCAGTTGTACTTATGTAAGTGAAGTACTATTGAAGTATCGTTGAAGTATGATTGCAGTGTAACTATTATTGATGCAGTATACTTCTAGTATACTTAAAGTATACTTCAAGGTTATCTTTTTGTAAGGGTGATGAGCTCTGTTGTTGTGGTTGAAACAGTAAAAATGATTTGAACTTGGGAAACTCAAACTCCTTATTGGCTCAATCTTACTGCCATTTTCCTCAATCAGTTTACTCTCCTGCAGTACTTGCAGGTAAAATTTAAGTGAACTGTTTTCAAACTTTCTGTGAAGGGGAAAGTCTTGATACAATGTTGAAGATAGCTAAATGTCACATATCTAGTTAGTCTGGTCACTCCGCTAGAGAGTGAAAAAAATTACTTTGATACATGTACACCTAATTATTGATTTTAATGAAAACCATTGGATCATACGTGACATGATTTTAATTTTACTGAATCTTATACAAATGCAAATTAGTTTTGGATTGGCAGGTTTGCTGTCTACTTCTCATGTGTTGTAATGTCTGTTTTTTACATCAATCTGTTCCTCGTTTTATTTTGACTGATTTCAGCTTGCCAAATGCAGGCCATTGGTGCTGCTAGCCCTGACACACTCCCTGATGCCAGCTTCTCAGCATCAAGTGAAGATAGCAGTTTTCAAGCTTTTAAAGGTCGACTAAATGCAAATAGGGCATGGAGACCCAGGACAAATGACATACCTGGTGATTATCTGCAAATTGATCTGCAGTATGAGTTTCTTATTTGTGCTGTAGCTACTCAAGGGATGTCAACTTCTGATGATTGGACAACAGAGTATAAGTTACAGCTATCCTCTGATGGTTCCACTTTTGTGACCTTCAAGAAAAACAATGTTGACAAGGTTGGTTAAAAAGCTACAGCAGAGATGTAATTCAAAGCTGTTCAANATTTTTAGGCAGAACAAATAAGTGCCATTTTCCACAAAAAAGCTTTAACCAGTATGACTTCCATTCATGGAGGTGGTGGAAGTGTGATCTAAAGGGTTCTACAAATGGAAAGTTTACATCCTTCAGTTAGTTTTGGGACAGCGAAGCTTAGTGCACAGTAGGCCGGGTTGAATTTGATTATTAGTATGCATACAAAAAGATAAATATTATTATTATTATTATTGTTGTTATTATTATTATTATTATTATTATTATTAATTTTCTTTTTATGTACTTGTAACCGTCGGTAATAAATACTGTCCTGAAGATTAAAAACGCTCGGCCTCGTAGAATTGTTTGTACCTTTAATCACTCTTTAGGTTCCTTGTTACATCGCCCTCCGTTTAGTCTTTCCATTTATATAGGACGAGTAAAACCGTTGACAATAAGATCCTCAAAGCAAATTTAACGCCCTGAAATTCGTTTAGGTTGGCCGAGGTACAACCTTGTCTCGAACAATGAAAACATGTATCACTCGTCCGAGCGAAGACTGGTAACACAATTCAAACTAAATGCCGCTGTACAAATCTAATGCGACAGCATTAACAGTACTTTTCTTTATTATTATTATTATTATTATTATTATTATTATTATTATCATAATTATTATTTCTTTTATTCAATTATCATTCTGTCTTTATTTCAGTTCCCTCACAAGCACCCAGTAACTTGACTTTATCTGCAAGCTCCTCTACAAGTATTACAGCATCCTGGCAGTTACCTCCCGTATATTCCAGACATGGAATCATTGTAGGATACAAATTGTTCTACAAAAAGAAAGGGTTCATGGGGTCAATGTCTGTTGTAACTATCAATGATGGAACAACTTTTTCAGGAGTTATTACTGGTCTGGATAAGTACACGGAATATGAATTTCAAGTGTTGGCTTTTACGTCTCATGGTGATGGACCAAAAAGTTCTGTTGTGGTGGAGAGAACAATGGAAGACGGTAATGGAAACTCGATCGTTTCTAGCAGTTGTAGTTCCACTCTTGGGTGGTTATATCATTGTAACGTTGGCTTGGAATAAATTAAGATGCATTAATATTATGTTTGACTTTGAAAGGAAAGCCTGACACAAAAGCCATTAAAAGCCGTGTCAAACATTAGGATTCCGAATGTTATTTTGATTGGTCACTTAAACAGTAGGAACCCAAAACGGAGGTGAAATTCCACACGTAGGTACCATGCTCCGCCATCTTGTTTCTTTGTGAGACGTGAATATATCTTATTATTAAAAACTGGATCATTGGATAATGGAATTGAAGACTTTTTATTGGCTTAGCCATAATCTAATATCTGTAATATCTAATATCTGTACATTGTAATATCCGGTTTCTTCTTACAAAGTTAAAACGAGAAGATTTGTCTAATATCTCGGGGGCGTTTTTTTAAAAGAACAGTTATTCCACTCGCGCTTGTTGGATATGAGATGATTATAGCCAACGAGGCGCGTAGCACCGAGTTGGCTATCTATCATCTCATATCCAGCGCGCGCTCGTGGATTAATTGTTAATTAGACGTTTGGTTGTGTAGTATCGCTGAGTATTTTTACTAGTTGTGCCGTATTTTGACGAGCCCGTAGGACGAGTCAAAATACAAATAACGAGTAAAAATACTCAGCGATACCACACAACAAAACGTCTAATAAGTTATTTAATATCCAACACGCCAAACTATTATTTCAGTACGGGCGAATTTCGCGGATGTTTATTTACGGGGAGTGCGTGACAGAAGTATGCTAAGCGGAACGGAATTGGCGCGTTGTTGTGCTGCTGTTTCTATTTTCTTCATTAAATGAAGAAATTTTTTGGTCGTCACGCTGTTTTTCTTCGTTCGATTCATCTAATGAACTTGGATCTATATTTGTTAGCCATTCTGACTCTTCGTCGTCGGAAATAGGATTCAAATTGTCTGCCATTTGTTTTTTTTTTTTCTTAACTACAATCCAATTCTTCGCTCGCGCGATGCGAGAAAACCTGTTTAACCGGTACTACTCGTCTATGTCGTTATTTGTACTCGTCTAGATGTAGTTGGATAATAACAGACGTTATTTACCATATTTCTTGTTAAAAAAAAGTCTAAATGGATCAGGAAGAATTCTAAAAAGCCCTTGAAGAAAGCCTCAAGATATTTCCTGGCATCTCGCTCAAAAACCGAGCAGAAGCGATCCTTGCAATATCTTAAATGTGAAAATTCAGTAAGTTATAATAGCACACGATCGGCGGATATTCTCTATTGTCACTCGTGTTAAGATACTTTTATTATAAAATCAGCTTATCTTCGAATAATGAAGATACATTTTTAGACAGTAGTAGTCATAAAAGAAGCATTGTAATCCGAGTATTTTAACAGTTTAAAACAATCAAAGAATTATTCTGATCAACGTAAACACGCTTTCATTCTACCTTGACTAAAGGTAGCGCGTTTACATCACAACATACATCAATGTTCATTAGATCACTAATAGCATCTTCAACTAAAGTTTTATCCTCTGTATGTGCTTTGAATAATGATCTTTTTACTCGAAAGTTCCGTTGTTGTCGTCGTTGTTCCATCGCGCGTTAGTTTTCGGCGTTTTCCCGACGGAGTTACACCCGTAGGTGAACCTTCATGAATTACCGCCCGCTGAATTCTTTCAGGGGAACCTACGCCATTAACTGTTTCTTTAAAAGCTTCTTTGAGCCCTTAAGATACCTTGTAGCAATTAGCTACCTTTCTGGCGCACTTCACACACACGAAACGTCGATCGGAAGCTCGGATATTTATGCCGATAAACCCAAGAAGATCGCGTAATACGAGGGATTTCTTCCCAACGGAGTTTAAAAGCTCTTTGTTTGTTGTTTCAGTTAACAAAGGAACTGATGCAGCTTGTTTCCCCTTACTATCGAATTGATTTTGCAGATTTCGCAATTTTTTATTCTTTTTTACATTATCTAACTCCATTCAGCAACTCACTGTCAAGCGCTTACGCGATTTTGCGCCAAAAAATGATCTGGGCGCGACGTGTGTTTTGACGGACAACATGACAACCGGAAGCGATTGTGATTGGCTACTTTTCTTACGTCAACGGGGAGTCCAAGAAGGGGGCGGAATGGCTTCTAGATTGTTTTGTGTCAGGCTCTCCCCTCTTTCCCTCTCTGCTAATTTTTCCCCCGAGAGCCTGATACTCAGGTTAATCAGAAGATTACCGGCTGACAAAGCTTCAGGAAAGGACAAAAATTTCACTTCATAAACAGCTCTCCTAAACCGATCAGTTACTCCAAGCTATGGATAGTAAGAAAATTCCAACCATTATTCTGCTCGATAAGTCTGTGGAACTCATTAAGCAATAATCTTGAGTGTTTAAAATGTCCCAAGAAATTTAAGCGTCAATTCATTAAGCTGCTATATGGTTAACCTAATTATTCAATATTGTTATTTTTCTGGAGTATATTTAGCTATAACTATAGTTTTAATTTTTTTTATTTTAGTTTTATTTCTTTTTACCATTTGTATGAAAGCTGAAAACCCCATTCAGGGAACTGTCAGCATCTGTGTAGATAAGATACCATATTAAAAAGAAACAAAATCTATATTACCGGTACTTTCATTGCAGTCGCTTTATGTGAAATGAAATAAAATCAATTTTAATAAAACCTCAAAACATGACTTTGGCGAGATTAAGAAAATACTGGAATTAAACTAAGATGAAAGAGGGTGATTATGGACGGAGAAAATTAGCAGGAGTTGGAATTGACGGACTAGGACCCTAAAAACTTCTCAGAGCACTATTTTTTTAACTTTTGATTGATTTTATTTTTCTCTTAGAACCTAGGGGTGGCCCAGCTGATGTGGTATCTGCTGAGGTCAACAAGACCACCTTTAACATTTCATGGGCACCTCTATCAAGAGAACAGACCAATGGCGACATCATTCTGTATAACGTCAAAGAAGAATTGATGTCTCGGGGAACAAGCCAGAAAAGATCTTTGAGTAGCAAAACAGTTAATACAACAAACACATTCATTTTATTGAATGGATTACTGCTTTGTTCGCAATACCAAGTGTCTGTTCGAGCTTATACCAAAGTAGGACCCGGTCCATATGGTCCACCT